CCATTGTGCATTCGGACAGCCTGACCGTACAGGCGATTTGCTGCAGGAGCTTGTTCTTCCTCGCAAGAAGCGCTTCTCCTGGCAACGCCCTTCTTCGCCTGCATCTGAGGCCCCTCCTTTCGTGCCGAAGAGGCCCTTACTGGGCTCCTGTACGACACCGGTTTCCACAAATATCTCTGCGGCAGCGACGCAGCCTGGCACATCCGCTGCCTTCCCCCCAGCCTGTCCGACCAGTCCGTACATTGGGGCACCTGGCACTGTGCATCAAGCCTACTCTCTTGCCTTACAATTGCAGGTCACTGAGTGGGTGCGCTTGGCCCGCCTTGCGGCTCCGCATAGCTCTACCTTGCCCGAGGTCTTGAAATCTGGCAAGGCTGACGTGCATCTGGCCAAGATGGTGGCCTCCTACGCTCCATCAACGCTGGCGGCCTACTTGTCAAAATGGCGACATTGGATTAGGTTTGCATCAGCTTGCGACGCCAGCCCTTATGATCCTTCCATTGCTCTTCTCCTGGACTTCTTGGCATCCAATTCCAGGGGCAAGTTGCAAACCGCGACCACATGGATCAAATCTCTGCGGTTCATCTCTCGAAAGGCGCATTTGGACTCCCTGCGCTCGGCCTTGCATTCCGACCTCGTGTCGGCCTACGGAAGATCCGGTTCCATTGTGGAGCGCCGCGAGAGTGCGCCTCTGCCACTCAGTTTTGTCATCTTTCTCGAGCGCCGCGTTTTGGATTCATCGCTCTCGGCTCAGCATCGCATTATTGCAGGGGCCTTTCTGCTCTGCATCTTTGCTTCCCTTCGGTTTTCCGATGCATTATGGTGTCCCCCTGGTCGCCTGTCTATAACCGGGGAATGCCTGCTGGGCGTCTGCCTTAAAACGAAAACCGCCCGGCGAGCAATGCCTTTTGGAGCCCTTGTTGGTGGATTTCTTCACCGTGGTGCCCAAGGGTGGGCACATGCCTGATTGCATCTTGTGCAGGTTGCATTGCAGGCCACGGCCATGCTTCATCCTAACTTCACGCCGGACTTCGTTCTGGCTAGGTTGGGTCCGGACGCTAACCAGCCTTTGTTCCTTGCACCTATGTCGAGGTCGGAAGGCATTGTGCTTCTTCGTCAGCTTTTCTCCATCTGCTATGCGCAAACGCAGCCTTCATCTCGGCCAGAGGCCGACCTGCTGGGCGTTCACTCGCTTAAGGTTACATTCTTGAGCTATGGTCGGCAACTTCTCATCCGCGAAGACCTTCAGCATCAGCAGGGACATCACCGTTCGTCTT